CATAGCTTTGTGCTTGTTGTAACCTCTCCAACTCTCTTTATTATAATAAAGAGAGTTAAACTCATTTAAGAGTCCAATGTGGGATTGACTCTTGACCCTTCAAATCCCACAGCCAACGTTTTACGTGCCATTTTATGGCTAACTTTAACAATTTATTTCTCACTCACCGAAAATCAGTTTTGAGGAAATAAATATACCACGAGTATCTACTCGGAACGTAGAATTTTTCTACAATATTTAATTCAACTCAAATTAAATATTTAGCCATAAAAAATTCAGTCAAAATCGGGTCAAACCCATATTTTATAACTGATTTTTCCAACAATCCCCTACATGAGTGAAAATCAAATGTATGCATGTATGCAGACTCTTGTGCTCAATCCTCACAAGACTCTATTTAATCAGAAAAGGTAGCTTGTGGCTTTGAACCTTTCTTAGTGAACACCATCGGATGTACTGGCGGCTTAGTGGACATAGTGCCTTGAACTATTCCTCCATAGTGTACACCAAGACAATGACATTCACACAACAAAGCCTTAATTCCATTCCGTTCTATTGTTGTGTCTGTTTTGGCCATGGACAACTCCTTGGATTCATAAGTGTTTACAATTGAAGCGGTTCTCACTTCACACTTATATAGGTGACCTCCCTGTCAAGAGTATCATGTATTACTCCACCTTTAAAAGGTTAGGGATTCATTAAAAGTCTATACGACTTACCCTCACCACAATCAACAGGTAATCTTGCACTTGGATTGCCTTAGGGAATAGATTTGGACATTCTAATGTTCCAAGTGCTTAGCTGAATTTTCATAGTTTAGTTTTCCCCTTGAACCAAGTTTATAGGATCTCCATTCAGCAAGGTAGGGTTCCCACTATGATCATTCTTTTCATTGTGGATTTGTAATCCCATTCCCTCTAGCAGTATTCCCAATTGATCTCTATTCAATCCTTTAGTAAAAGGATCAGCCAAATTTTCCTTAGACTTTACGTAGTCAATGGAAATAATACCATTTGTGATCAATTAGCGAACGGTATTATGTCTACGACGAATATGTCTAGACTTACCGTTGTACATGTTACTTTGCGCCCTTCCTATAGCGGCTTGGCTATCACAGTGAATCATCACAGGCGGCAAAGGCTTATTCCAACATGGAATATCGGATAAAAAGTTTCGAAGCCACTCGGCTTCTTCACCAGCTTTATCTAAAGCGATGAACTCCGACTCCATGGTTGACCGAGCTATACAAGTTTTTTTTGTGGACTTCCACGAAACAACACCTCCTCCAATAGAGAAGACATATCCACTTGTGGAGTGAGAATCTCTCGAATCCGATATCCAGCTTGCATCACAGTACCCTTCAAGTACTGCTGGATATCTCGAGTATTTTAGCCCGTATTCAAAGGTGTACTTTAAGTACTTCAGTACCCTTTTCAAAGCATTCTAGTGCTCATGACTGGGATTGCTCGTAAATCTACTCAACTTATTTACCGGATAGGCCAAGTCTGGTCGTGTACAGTTTGTCAAGTACATTAGACTTCCTATTATCCGTGAATATTCCAATTGAGCAACTGGTTGACCTTTATTGGCTTCCAGATTTAAGCTAAGATCAAGGGGTGTCCTGCATAAAGGACCTTCATATGCATTGAATTTCTTGAGCACTTTCTCTACGTAATGAGATTGTGACAAGACATTCTGATAATCCTTATTCCAAAAATTACATCAGCTACACCCATGTCTTTCATGTCAAAATTTCTTTTCAACATTCGTTTCGTATCCATGATCACTTCATGGTTACTCCCCATGATCAACATATCGTCTACATATAGACATACAATTACATATGTATTTGATGTGTTCTTAACATAAACACATTTGTCACATTCGTTGATTTTGAACCCATTTGACAACATCACGTCATCAAATTTCAAATGCCATTGTTTCGGAGCTTGTTTAAGTCCGTACAAAGATTTGATCAATTTGCACACCTTTTTCTCTTGTCCAGGTGCTACAAAACCTTCGGGTTGTTCCACGTAAATCTCTTCTTCTAATTCACCATTCAAGAATGCCGTTTTGACATCCATTTGATGAATCTCAAGATTGTGCAAAGCTGCAATCGAGAGAAGCACTCTAATTGACGCTATATGCGTCACAGGTGAATAGGTATCAAAGAAGTCGTACCCTTCTTTTTGTTTAAAGCCTTTGACCACTAATCGTGCTTTAAACTTATCAATCGTTCCATCAGCTTTGTATTTTCTTTTTAGGATCCACTTGCATCCTAAAGATTTACAACCCGCAGGGAGATCAACCAACTCCCAAGTATGATTTTGCATAATGGACTCGATTTCGCTATTTATAGCTTCTTCCCAGAGTGGTCCATCTGGGCTAGACAGAGCTTCCTTAATGGAATTCGGCTCATCGTCCAACATATACGTAATAAAATCAGGTCCAAACATTTTTGCCGTTTTTACCCTTTTACCATGTCTCGGTTCTTCTTCTTTATCTTCAGTACCATCTGGTACAAAACCGCTATCAGTTTCATACGTCCTTTTGTTAGAACTAGATTCTGCTCTTTCCTTCAGAGGAAAAATATTCTCGAAGAATATAGCATTCCTTGACTCAATTGTGGTACCAACCGATACCTCCGGATTTTCTGATTTATGAACCAGAAATCTATATGCAGTACTATTGTATGCATATCCAATAAAGATACAATCGACCGTCTTAGGTCCGATTCTCATTTGTTTTGGTTCAGGAACTGAAACCTTAGCCAAACACCCCACACTTTCAGGTATTTATAAGACGGCTTACGATTTTTTCACATTTCGTAAGGAGTCTCATTTTTCCCTTTAGGTGGTATTTTATTCAGAATATGATTTGCTGTTAAAACAGCTTTCCCCCACATATTCTGGGGTAATCCTGAATTTATCAACATGGCATTCATCATCTCTTTTAAAGTCCGGTTCTTGCGTTCAGCAACACCGTTCGACTGTGGAGAATAGGGGGCCGTCGTTTGATGAATTATGCCGTATTCAGAACATATTTGTTCAAAGGAGCTACATACTCCCCACCCCTATCACTTCAAATTATTTTAATCTTTTTGCCGAGTTGATTTTCAACTTCGGTCTTATAATTTTTACAAGCTTCCACAGCCTCGTCTTTACTTCTTAAAAGATATAAGTAGCAAAACCTTGTGCAATCATCAATAAAAGTTATAAAATATCTTTTACCCGTTCTTGTTTGCACAAACTTCAAGTCACATACATCAGTATGGATTAAACCCAACGGTTCAGTATTTCTTTCCACCGAGTGAAAAGGTAATTTAGCCATTTTGGCTTCAACACAAATTTCACATTTTTTGTGTGATTCAATTTTA